TAAAAATGCACCATTAATGCACCATTAATGAAAAAAAATGCAGCATCAATGCAGAAAAATGCAGTGTTAATGCACATGAAGAATGAATGCAGAATTCCACCTTTTTCAATTTTGTTTGTCCTTCAGGTCAATCATTTTTCACTTGGGAAAAATACTACATTTGCCCAGTGTGAAGATGCTCTTCGAAACAAAAGGACGTAGATTCGTAGCGATAACTGACAATACCGGAACTGAGGCAGTGATTAGAAATCATAAGTCGAGAGATCGGTCAGTGAATGAGGAATGGAAAAAGTTACAAAAAAGGCTAACTTACCTGGGGTGTGAGCTAGAGGAGAGACGCGTCGCATCAGGCAACAACAATGCGGATGAGTTATCGAGGGGTGAAAGGGGAAACAAGTCAATCTTTTTCTACCTCAAACCAGAAATACCAAGTGACCTGAAGCCACTGATTGAATACAAATACAAAAATGACAAGGAACTCAAAGGAAAAGAAGGACACGGTCAGTTTTAGCAAATCAGTGAAGATAGAAGGAGAAGAGAAGCAGAAAGAAACTATAACAGAACACTTAGTAAAAGGAGCGTGGCAGCCAAAGACGTTGAAGGGATACAGTAGTGCAGTTCAGAAATTTAAGGCGTATATTGAAAGTACAGGGAGAGAGTTTAAGAATGAAGAGCCGATGACAGTAGAGGACGTGTACGGATTTATCGTATGGGCAGGACCGTCAGAAGTAGGGAAAGTGGCAGGACCAGGTAGAGAATTAAAATCGAGAACGATTGCAAAGTACTTGGCCGGATTGAAGGCATGGCACATGGCGAAACACCACACGGAACCGAACCTAGACATAACGATGATTGACTGGCTGCTGAAATCAACAGAGAGAGCGGCAGAGAAGAAGGAGATGTTGGCAGGCACGAATCCGGAAAGAGAAAAGAAACCAATAACAGTGCAAGACCTCTTCGAAATGATGTCAGAGATGAACGGGAAATCACCACAACATGATCTAGCGATGACAATAGCCTTAGTGGCCTTTTGGGGGATGGCAAGGCTCGGAGAACTACTGAGAGAGACGGTAGAAGAAGGAGCGATCCGGGTAGAAGACTTGACTTTCGAGAGGGGAAGGCGAGGAAGGATAGCGATAATAAAACTGAGGATGGCAAAGACGGCGAAGCCGGGAGAACCGCAATTCATTAGGTACGCTCAGAAACAAACACAGGAGAGGGAAAATTGACTGACCAGCGCAAACTATTTGCAAAATTTTGATTCGTGAAATATAGGCTTCATGAACAATACTCAGTGCTAGATCCAGTTTTGGCTTTAGTGAGATTGTTAGCTGAGGAACATTACACAAAAAAGAGGAGCGACATACTCTTCTCGGTGACGGTAGACGGAGAGAGGCAGACACTCACAAAATTAAGATTCATAAAGATGATGGAAACAGTATGGGGTTTGAATGGAGTGAATAAAGGGGCTTGGTCGGGTCATTCGTTCAGGGTAGGAGGAGCTTCTTTAAGGTTTAACATGGGCTGGGACAAGGAGAAGATTATGGAAGAGGGGCGTTGGAAGTCAAACGCAGTAGATTGTTATTTAAAAAGGTGT